TTTGTTCATCTGTTTGTTCATTTGATTCATGGATGGCATGAATTTGATTGAAGTGCAAAAGCTGCTCTTCGGGTGTATTGATTGGTGATAGATTGTAATATGTGCGTAACACGCAGTAAAAGATAAAAAAAAAATATAATCTGATTTATTTGTGTTTAAAAATTATATTAAATGTTAAAAATTAAATTTAAAATGTAATTGATAGTAAATTTTTAAATTAAAAACAAAGACCTAAATATATAACCAAATTTATTTGTACTCATCCACTTTTTTGTTTTTTTTAAGACTCAAAGATTTACATATATATATATATATATATATATTATATATGTGTTTTTCTTTTTTAATTATTATTATGTAATAAAATAATTTTATAAATCAATTTAATTTCAAATTAAATTTTATAACAATTTCAATTATTATAATAACTATACATATTATATTATTCCATTAATAATTAAAAAATAAATAAATATTAATTTTTTATTTTAAAAATAAAAAAATTCAATTTATTTTTAATATTAATTATATTCTTAATGCTAGTAAAAAATATAATAATATTTTATTTAGACTAAAAATTTTATTTATTTAATTAAATTAAATTATCTAATTTAATTCTTAAATAATTAAAATAATTAATCTATTTATCAAAAGTCAGAACACTCGTTAGTGTACGATTCCATAGATTCAACACTAAATCGGTAGCAAATTTGTCAAATCAATTTACTAATTAAGGTTGTTATTTAACAATACTTTTCAATGATCGGATAGCATGAAATGTGTAATTACTCTCAAGAACTTGTTAAAAAAATATGTAATATTTCATTTCATCATTATTGTTCCGGGTTAACCATAGGACATGGTTTAACTGTCAAATTCCAATAGATAACTAATTATATTTTATGTCAATTATAATTGACTAATGAATAATATAAGAAACTTTTTTTTTTTCATTCATTCAACTGCCCTGATTAAGGTTTTAATTTAGTTATTATAATAAATAATAACATAGAATTTAAACTTATTAGCAGAGCTGACAGATTCCGTCTTGATCAATCATTAATTTGACAAGTATTTAATAACACCCAATATTTTTTCGATTACAGTTCTATAAATATAAATGTCCATAATAAATGATAATAAATAACTTGTCAACTACTACAATGATATCAGATTTAAAAAAATTCTTACATCTCATCAAAATAATAAAATACTTTATTGACAATTTAAAATAATATTAACTATTAGAAATTCTCAATTGAGTCGGTTCAATGATCAGATCTCCACATACATCATCTATACATGTGATTTAGTTAGTAAGATCAACTAATTTTTATCTTATAAAAATTATCACATACATATTAGTTTTACCGAATCATTAATATCTTATTTTGATGATCTAACGACTGAGAACATTTTAAATTTAATCATAAAAAATTTTACACTTATTTTTTAAAATCTTCATCCCGATGTAAAACCTATAAATTTAATTCAGAACTATATCATATAAATTAAACGATAAAATAATAAATATGATAATAAAGTACTATTGCTATATATTTAATATATTACACGAATAATTGAATCGTGAGCATAACACTTATATTCCTAATAATTAATTGAAAGACTATATCAAATTCAAAGGATTACTTTTTCCATAAAGAAAATCCTTATGTTCTTAACAGTTGGTTCAGAAAATTTTGGTTAGGGTGTGTTTAGGGGGAGAACTGAGGAAGAGCATATATATATCTATATATATATATGCATATATATATATATATATATAAAATAAAGTATACAATATTATTAAAAAGTTAAATAAAATAATAAAAATAGCTTATTTATTTATGATTGTGCAAAAGAATTACACAATTAAGATAATTTTTATTAACTCGGGTGTCGTTGTGCAGTAAGACTAACACAATAACTTTATTAAAAACTAAAAGTTTAATAATTATATCTCAGACTCTCTCTCTTCTGATCATCTTCTTCCCATCAGTTGTGAGCTGGGTGAGGAGGATGAGCCCACGGGAATGGCCACCTTCCATGGGGGGGGGAAGTGGGGAATCCAGCCACGACGACCGCGGAACCAGAGAGCTTCCTGGGAATCTCGTTCGTCCTCTGCGTATGAATTTACGTCGGAGCCATGAGATGGAACGGGAGGATGAGCCCACGGGAATGGCCACCTTCCACGGCGGGGGAAGTGAGGGAGCCAGCGACCGCGAGGTGACCAGAGAGCTTCCTGCGAATCTCGTTCGTCCTCTGTGTATGAATTTACGTCGGAGCCATGAGACGGGACAGGAGGATGAGCCCACGGGAATGGCCACCTTCCACGGCGGGGAAAGTGAGGGAACCAGCGACCGCGAGGTAACCAGAGAGCTTCCTGGGAATCTCGTTCGTCCTCTGTGTATGAATTTACGTCGGAGCCATGAGACGGGACAGGAGGATGAGCCCACGGGAATGGCCACCTTCCATGGGGGGGGAAGTGGGGAATCCAGCCACGACGACCGCGGAACCATAAAGCTTCTTCAGACCCATGGTCTGTATCATCAGCAGCGTTTGCCAGAGCTTGCATGGAGCAA